TAATTGATATATTGTTTAATCTGTATTTGTACTTTATTTAATAATATATTCTGTATATTTATATTTCTAATAACATTAAATTAAAAAAAATTATTTAATTTATAATATTAAGAAGAGCGTCTTAGTATTAATTTCTCTTTTAGCATAGAAGTATAGAATTCTTTTCTATTTTCTTAATATCCTTCACATAAAGGCATAAAGGATAAAGTTCGTTAAAGCGTTCTTTCAAAAGTTTACCAAGTCTTTACCTTCTTCACAATAAAAACAGATTGAATAATAGTTGACTGGTTTGTGACAATTGATTCAGATGTGCACAAATATTACTTCTTTTTTAAAAAGAAATGCTTATTAATAAACTTGTTCATCTCTAAAATTAATATAATCAAAATGTATTTTAAAATAGGTTCCGCATTTGCTTATATATTAGTCTATACTCTTCATAATGTATAATATCATCTAATTTTTTTAACATTATCTAATTAAAATCAAATATACAGATTATTTTACAAAAGAATAGAATCCAAAAGAAATAGAATTCAAATAATATGAAAGTAAATTAAATTGGTTTTGTTGTATTCTTGTTAAGGTTTACATTATTGATGATACTATTAACTAGAGAATGAAACTAGCTTTTAGTCACCCGAATCATCTGCATTAAATCAGGTTGATACATACAGTTCAGGATTTGACAACCTGGATACCCGATTGTCTATAAATAAAAGTTTATTCCTAGGACCAGATAATTAATTTGCTGTTTTGCACATTTATTTATTTTAGGTAAAGTCAATTGAATTGTTTACCGCAAATATCAATTTTCTTCTTTAATGAGCATTTAATTTGTTTAAAAATTTAAATTATGAAAAACATTTATTCTACAGAATTTATAGTTGAAATTTTTTCAATTACCAAAATATACCCTTCAGATATCATATATTTCTTTTATAGTAATAATTTATTTATTAAAATTATTTTTACAATTATTTTAGTATTTAGTAGTCTAATTTAGATGAAATTTTTTATTTTTATAGAGCTTAATAAAGATTTTAAAACAAAAAAAATATTTATGAAGATTAAATTACTAGAAGGTAAAATATTTGCATAATTCTGTTATTTTGACATATATTAAAAAAGGTTTTTTTGCAATTATTTTAGCATTTAGTAATCCAATTTGAATAATATATTTTTATTTAATAGATTAAAAAGACCTATAAAACTAAAAAAGGTTCATATAAATGGGATTACTAAATAGCAAAATATTTGTATAATACTATTATTTTATATATATCAAAAATGTTTTTTGCAATTATTTTAGTATTTAGTAATCCAATCTAAATAAATATATTTTTATTTAATAGAGTTTAAAGAGGCTAATAAAACAAAAAAAACTTCATGTAAATTGGATTACTAGATGGCAAAATATTTTCATAATTATATTATTTATATATATATATATTTTTTTGGAATTTGATCAAGTGGAAGTGAGAGGTCAGGCTACTGATTAGCTATAATCAGCTGATTTCTGATATAAATCTCTGATAAATTTTAACATTAATTTTTGATAGCTAATAGAAAAATATATTAAAATATAATAAACATATAATATAATAAATATAATATTATCTAACTATAGTTTCAAAAAATTTCTTCTAATAAGTAATACATTATTTCTTTCATAACTATTAATATACATTTCTTTATATATTAACTAAATATAAATCCATTTTTTTTAACTATCAGATTATTATCCTTTTGCTATAATATATAAATTTATATTTATTAACCTATAATTAATAGAAATTATAATATAATAAACAAGTTTACCTAACTTTAGTTTTTTTTTTATGCTAATAGAATGTAAAATTTCATTAGTAATATAATCACAAAAGTTATTAATGATTATATCAAATTTGTGTTATCTTAAGTATAATGTAACCTTTAATTAAACATCCTTATTATCAATAATGCTATTTCATTTAAAATGTTTGATATAATGAATTTTAGGAATATCTTCATAATTAATAAATATTTGGATTAACTACTAATATAATGAGAAAATTATTTTTTTCAATTAAAAAGATTTGTAACAATTTGACTTACTTCTAACTTTGTATCCTTTGTTAAGAAATTATTGATAATATTAAATAGCATTAAGTTACCTGAAGTTAAATGCTTATCTTCAATTTTTAATTTATTTTTAATAGTTATGATATATCTAGTAAATATATCCACCTAACTAAAATTAGAATTGAAATTATAATTCTGAATTCCTATCAAAAACATTATAATCACTAAGATTACTAATAGAATTATCAAAACCACTAAAAGAATCATTATTAGAGTTATCATCAGAACTATTATTAGGATTATTATTACTATTACTAATAGAATATTTACCTGATAATATTTGATAAATTATTTGTTTATTCTTTTTTAATTTTTTAATGTTTTAAACTTTCTTTGGTATTTGATTATGCAAGAGTTTTATAAATCAATGTTGTTATTTTTAGACAATAAATATTAGATAATACTAGATAAAAATTGCTATTCTTTGTCTATTAATTAAGCAATAAAAATAGAAAATGTATATATTGTTATTTATTAATATTTATTAATTTTTAATTTATAAAAAAAATAATTAATTATATCTTTAATCTTATTAGAAATTACTTATTTTATTTAAGTGAAATAATTTGAATTATATAAAACTATTTATTAAAAGGAAAATTTCAAATTAGATATAAACAAATCTTCTAATTTTTATTTTGCTATTACATTCTTTAGTAAAATTTATTATAATCATCACTATCTGAATTTTCATCTTCAATTCTTTTAAAATTTATTCCTTCTTCTAATTCCTTATTATTTAATAAATCTATCTATTTTTCTACTAATGTATTTCATTTTATATTGGTAAATCATTATCATTATCATTAAATACTTTTTCATTTATTTTAATTCATTTTAGAATGATTTTTATATATTTGTAATTTGTTTTGTTTTTTTGTATTATTTTTATTATTTTCTTTAATAATTTTAGTTCAAAGTTAACTCATTGCCAAATCATTTTTATATTAAAAAAAAATTAATTAAAAATAAATAATTTAATATATTGTATATAATTTAATATCTTATTTGTAATCAATTGTGTTTTTTTAAATATAAAAATCATATTATGGAAAACAACTTTTCACATAAAGCTGTATTAATATAACTTCTAAATAAATGATCGACTAAAGTGACTAAAGTATCTAATTTTGAAGCTATATTAGAAACACTTTTATATCATTTCATAATATCATCAAATTGTTTAAATGTTTTATTATAAAAGGATATCATTACTTTTTAAATTTTTCTAATACAAGAATAATTGTTAGTTTTTTTTTAAATCAAGACTTATAATAATAATTAATCTAATAATCAATTTGTGAATATGTTAAATTCTTAGCCTTAAGAGAAAATTTTTCTAATTAATATTTTGGATAAAGAGCTAAAGAAAGTATTAATAATAGTTCTTTTTAACCAGCCAAATATAATTCAAGTTATTTAACTATATAATTATAAAAATAAATTAGTGTTAATTATTTCATATTATTCATAATAAAATTAAAAGAATATATTATTTGGTGAAGACATGCTTTATCCTATTACATGATATTTAAAATTTCACAAAATAGATATAAAAGGATTGTTAATTTTTCTAAATTTGTTCAAAGACTTATATTATTGATAAATGAAGTTTATCTTCACTAGTATGAGAATTAATTATTACTAAAATCTAAAAAATTTATAAAAATTTTATAAATTAATAAATAATGTTTATAAAAATAAATACTTTAATAAATATAATAAATTTATTATAAATGCATTTTTTGTTTTTAAAAGGAAATTAAAGAATTATAATAATTATTTCTAACATATTAAACATAGACTTATAAAAGCTATAATTTTTTTATAAAGTTTTAACTATTTATGATAAAGCTTTTATATAAAATAAACTGATAAATAAAAAAAACCAATTATTTGAATATGATTAAAAATCCTTTTAAATATTTAAGTTTCTTTAAAAATTTCTCTTATATAACAATTAGCTTAATATACAAAGTATAGTAGTAAAAATATTATTTTATAATGAATTAATTTTATTTGTCATCTATTAATAAAAATAAAAATTATTTAAAATTATAATAATTGTCTGAAGCATAGCGGAGGACACTTTACTACTATGATATTCAAATGCAAGATCGTTCTGTCCGTCCAAATTTGGTAAGCCTGATAACCAATGACATTTTGTTTACATTATCACGTGTTATGTCTTTGTGTTACAAAATAATTAATCATGTGAAATATGATATTATAATTTATATACTTCAGACTTTGAACAGATCCTGTTCCTTAGTAATAAATAAAAACCTAGCAGATACATATTCCCAGCAGTATTAGTTACTAATGCATTTATTTAAATATTTTAATATACTACTTTTTCAAAAAATAATTCTATTTATTGCATAATTTCTTCTGTGCATTGATATTTACCACTTATATTCTCTGCATTTTATACAAGAACTGGGGCTACTTGAAGTAATTAAAACAATATCTATTATCTTTTATTTTACAATATTTTTCTAACTATCAAAAGATTTGAAGTAAGTTGTTAATTATTAGATTTAATTTTATTAGTAATTTTATTTAAAATTTGACTAGCAAGAGTTCATCAATCAGGTAATACTAAAATTAAAAAGATCATGAGTTTCATTATTATTAATCTAATGAAAAGCAAATTTATTAAATACTATTATCCTTATTAACTTTTTCTCAAATATTAAAATTTTTGCTACAGTTATTTATTATTTGTCATCCAATATATTGTATAATCTGAGTTTGATTATGTTATAATTTTTTAGTTAATTGTATTGAATTTTCTTCTTGAATTTTAAGTTCATCTAAAGATTAGAACTGATATTTAATATTCAGATTTAAAACTGATTTCTTCTGATTTGAATTTAGATTTTATTAGAATAAATATATCCAGATTCCTTCATTTCATCAAGATATAATAAATCCAATTCCTTCATTTCATCTGGATATAAATCTGATTCCTTTATTTCATCTGAATATAATAAATCCAGTTCCTTTATTTCATCTGAATATAATAAATCCAGATTCTTTCATTTTATCCAGATATAATAAATCAGTTTTTTCATATAATACATCCAGTGATATACATTTTCGATGTCCCAAAAATTTTGAGACTGTCCCACACTATGTCCCAAAATGTCCCACATTAAGTCCCAATGTCCCAGGCCATGTCCCAAAAATGTCCCATGACAACACTGAATACATCTGGTTCTTTTATTTATCAAATTCATTTATTTTAGTTTTCATTATTATTATTAACTGTATTTTTTATTTTTTAAAAAAAATATAAATTTTTTTTGATATATAATATTTATTTTTAAATAAGATACCTGATTATAATAATAAAAGAATAAATAAAATCATGTTACATTATAAAAACTCTTTATAGGATCGGCAAGATAAAAATTTGAGTATTTTTATAAATATACTAGGGAACAGGATCTGTTTAAAGTCCAAAGCATGGTATGGTATATAAATTATATTATCATATTTCACATGATTAATTATTTTGTAACACAAAAGACATAACATGTGATAATGTAAACAAAATGTCATTGGTTATCAGGCTTGCCAAATTTAGACGAACAGAATGACCTTGCATTTGAATGACCTAGAAGTAAAATGTCTTCCGCTATGCTTCAGACAATAATTATTAAAAAATTTAATATTATTTATAATAACTAAAAATACTTATTATTTTTATAACACTTTTATTTTATTATACTATATATATTATTTATATATATAAATGCTAAGAAATTCTAAACTAATTATTAGTTTCTAAAGAAGGAAAAATATCAAAATAAGCACTATTGCATTTTAAAAATAATATTTGATGTACTAAATTTGGAAACAATTGTGTTCTTTTTGAAGAAATATGATTATTTGTATTAGATAAAAGACATTTACTAGATACAGATATGACAGGAATTGAAAAATATTTACGTGTTAATTTAGATAAAATAGGGTAGATTATTATATAATCTCACCACTATATCAAAAGGTCTGTGGTTTTTGGTTTATTAGAATACTATAAATAGCATAAAATTTTATTATCTTCTATTGGTATTAATACTTGATCATTACTTCACATCATTGCAAATATATCATTATCTTCCTCAATTATAATTGTTAATATTTCTTGAATCTCTTCTGAAAATTCTAACTCTTATTTAATTTGAAAATACAACTTATTTAAAAAAGCTTTAGCTTGTATTTTTTGTTCACTACAATCAGGTTCTTCAGCAAATAGAAAATTTTTTATTTTAAAATCTAATATTGTTGTAACTAAAGATGATTCATTTAGTATATTTCATAATTTATTCAAAGAAAGATAAATAGCAGCTCAAACTTTTTTAAGAAAATCACTGGTATTTACTAGTAGAAGATATTTAATTTGATTTAAATTTTTTATTTCATTATTTGAAATATATGAATTTGTAAAATACGAATACGACCATAATTATAAATACGACTACAAATATAATAATAACTATGATTATTTTTATGGTTATATCTTTGCCTCACCCCTGTTCTTGACTTTTAATTTGTTGTCTAAATTGTTAATAAAAATATTGCCAATATCATTGATTTTCAACAGTTGGTAAGCTATTATTATCATTAATAGAACTTAAGTCATCATCAATTTCTTAGTATTTTTAAATATTAAAGGTCTATATATAATATCTAAATAATTGTTTATAGTTTCATTTTCTTGAATTCTTAGTGCAAACATTCGTTTAAGCATATACATATATAGATGTATTATATTAAGTATTGAATATGAAGTACCAGATAATCATCACGTTATAGTTTTAAATAGTTCTAATAGTTTAACTATTTCTTGAACAAAACTATTTTACAGCTAATTTTATAATTCATGGATCACTAATAATTTGTAACTGAATGCGATTGAAAATATTTTATAATAAAATTACTATATAATGTTGTGACTGAATGCGAATGAAAAATTATTATTGGTCTATAAATTATGAAATTAGTTGTAATAAAAAAATTTTATATACTTTTAAAATAAATAAAAAAATAAAAAAAAATATTTTTTAAAATTTATTTAAACTTACATCTTTTCTTTATGCGTTAAGCATAATTTTTCTAATTTTTCTCCTTTCTTATTTAGTATATGATCATTCTTTGATAATAATGTAGTTGAAACATAATGTATAGCATTATGCAATTCAAGAATTCATTTTCAAGCAATAAATGTAGAATTTCATCAAGTTATAGTATCAGTTAAAATATCTAAAGAACTTGTTGGTATTTTAGAATATTAAATTGTAGGTCCTTCAAATTCATTAATTTCAAGCTGTACTAGCTGTAATCATTATGCTTGTTTTAGTAATCAAAAAAACTTTGCAAATTTTAATTTGCTGATAAATATTTTTGCAATACTTTAATTCTTCTTTTATAGATAGCTGTAATATATAAGTCATACATAGTTGTCTTTAATAGAAGATAAAAATTGATTGAGAAAACATATATTTTTAACTATATTTAGTTTATTATCAGTTATAATAATAAAAATAGTATTTGTTAAACACCATTATTCAATAATTTAATATAATTCATTACGAATGATCTTTCCTGTATGTGGATATTCCAAATGATTATAAGTAAACAAAACTTAACAAAAAGTAAAAATGGAAGTAAGTCAAGTTGCTGTTACTTTAATATATTTATGATTGCTTCTTGCAATTCAAAAATCTATAGTTAAATAAACTGATGTAACTGTATTTCTAAGTAAATTAATAAGTTGATCTTTGCTTTAGATATATACTTCATAAATTAAATTCTTGACTGTTTTTTTCACATAGGATTGCAAATTAAGTTCACAAGTATGAACAAATTCACAAAAACATTATTTTTAAGAATATATAAAGATTAAACAAATTGAATAATAAAAATTATCAAGCAACGTGTAAGCTCTTGTTGTTGAATTTCATTATAATGAACATTTGATATTTGTTTTTGATCTGATTTTGGCTAATAGAATATATATATTAATATTAATAAAAATTCATAAATATAATTAATTAATATATTTGCAATTTTTTTTTAATAAAATTATCTTATCATTTATATCTAAATAATCTAAAAAATTAAATTTCATTATTTCATGCTTATCTCATAAATTACAGAATAAGTTTGAAATTAAACTGCCTCTACAGCTATAAGGATAGGATTTTTTACTGGTTCATTCACAAATTATACAATATGCTACATCATTATTATTGGGTCTTTGCAAAAAAAATAAGAAGTATGATTTCTATTGCTTCTTTCTGCCAGCATATTATTATTTGAAGATATTGCATTCATTTTATTTTTACGTTTTTTTATTCATTAGAAATGCTTATAGATGAACAGATGATTATTAATTTAGAATCAGACATAGTAATTCAAAAGAAAATGTTATATAAGCTACCATTTTCAATATTTTAAAAATCAGTTACTTTAAATTAAAGTTTATTATAGAATAAAAAGTCCTAAAAGATTTCCATATTTTATTTAAATTTAAAATATTACTAAAAAAGTCAACTGTTTTTTTTAAAAAATTTAATTTGTTACTGATCAACAATGCAAGTATCATGGTATTTTGTAACTGAAACATCATTTAATGTTTATTTATTAAATTACTGAATTTGATCAAAGGAACTAGAATTATTTTATTCAGATTAAACGAAGGCACTGAATTTATTATATCTAAATAAAATGAAGGAATTGGATTTATTACATCTGGATAAAATAAAGGAATCTGGATTTATTTTATCCAAACTGAATTTAAAAAATAAATCCAGTTTACAACTCTAGATTCATCTTCAATTTCTAAATTAATTAATAAATAATAAATAAAATAAATAGAAAATTTAATATAAAAATTTATAATATTGATAATTTGCCATTTTTTAAGAATAGTTGTATAATATTCTGAAATGTTAAAATTCTATTAATTTTGTTCAGTTTATGTTCAGTTAAAAAATTTTAACAGTTTTGAAAATGTTTATAGCAATAACGTTAAGTATTGGTAATTTTATTTTTATTTTTTTTCATCACTTAACAAAGAATTTTGTCTTACATATTTAATACAAGAAATACAAAAAGCTTTTAAATTATTTTTATTTGCTTTTTATTTATTATGAAAATTTTAAACTATGAAATTAATGGATGCAACATTTTTTCTTCTATATATGCTATTTGAAAAAAAATTATATATAGCAATTATTATTTAAATTTCTTTTATATTTGAATTTATAGATGATTAATAGATAACAATAGATAATAGAAAATAGTATAAACATAATGAAAAAGTGTTCATTGTCTATTATTTACTAATAGATATATTCATTACCAACTATGTTATAAATTAACTAATAGACATTTAAAAGATTTTAATTTTTTCATATTTTTTATTAAAATTAAAAAATTTGTTCTGCATTTTTTTTAATTTATCATTGATCTATTTAACTTCATCTTTAATGCTTTTTCTATTATCTAAATTTAAAATATTATTTAGATTAGTTTTATTAATATTATCCTAAATTTTTTTTTTGCTATATTTTAACAATATGATCTTTATTTTTTTAATTATTTTATTAGAAATTTTAAAAATGAACTTTTTCAAAAAAAATTTACAGGTTAAACTATATATTGTCACCGGGAATAATCTTCTCTAATTACTTCACGTAACTTGTCTAAGTTCCTTTATTGCGGTAAGTAACTTCCTTATCGTCAGACTTTACAACCTTAGGGAATCTTACGTCCTACAGGTATCCGAAGTGCCTA